GAGAATAATATGTGAGATAATAAAACGATAGGATAGAATAGTAATTTGAAATAGTTAGTTCCTTTATTAATTTTTTATAACGCTATTAGAAGAAGATTATCTGAAAATGTGATGTATTTGAGCAATGCATTTCGAACAATCTGATCACATATTTACTTGTCAAGTCAACTGATACATGAAAACGAAAGGTCAAATACAATGAATACGGAAAGGTTGTTTCACAAAATCTACCTTGGTAATGTCTATCTGATTATATTACAACCTTTTCATATTCATTATATTTGACCTTTCATTTTCATGTGTCAATTGACTTGAAAAGTAAATGTGTGATCAGATTGTTAGAAATGTCATCACATTTTTCAGATAACCTTCCTCTTCTAACAGCGTTACAGAAAATAAAATAGTGAATAAAGCTATAGGGAAGGAAAAATTCACCAAGGCAATATAAGGTAAGCAACAAACTCTTTTTGTACACATAAGTTCGGTTTCAGTTGATGGATTGCTGCTGTTTGATGCATAGTGCAGCCATCTACTATTTCCTTGTTTATTGATTATTTTGAAAGCTATATCTGAGTGGACGACATGTCTCGTATCGAGGATGTGTTCATCGCCTTCAAATGATAGTCTAATGAGTTCGCTCTTTTTCGACACGGTTGTTTCAATCGACTTCTGATTTTTTTGGTTCAAAGTATTTATTGACGAACTTTATGGGATATGCTCTATCCAACATAGTTTTTTGCATATTTTCCAATTCATTCTCGATGACTTACTCAGAACATAGTCTAGTAGCCCTTAAGTAATACAGTCTCGGCTAGACTTCTTTTACAAGTAATGGGACAAAAACCATTCAATTTAAATACTGATGGGTTTGAGTAACCTTGTGTAAAAATGCTGTGTAACATAAAACCATATTTGGCTTTTTGATACTAAATCCAAGAAATTGATTCCACCCAGTGTTTAATGTTTACAACTGGATTTCACATCTGAATGAAGTGAATCTAAGGCCTGAGTAGATTTTTTGCGTGGTTTTCACTCTCATATATGATGGACGCATCATCTGCATATCTAAAAACCAGTTTTCACTGTTTGATGGCGACGCTTAGTTTCGTATTCTCTAATTGGGTTTGAAAAATATCAACAAATATGGAACCAGTGGGACTACCTATAGCCACACCTGTCTGTCTGTAATACGAGCCATTACACTGGAATTATATGACCAGTAAATCTTTAACTTTATTATGTGGAAGGTCTTTAATGTTAGCATGACTACATATGACATCAATCGTTCTTTCAAGGGGTACGTCCTTGAATAGTGATTCACCATTAATAGAAACCATGTGATCTTTGCCTAAATCAATATCATGAATCCTATTAGCAGGTTCAAAAGTATCCTTAAATGTATGAACAGCTAACTCTTTCTGACAGGTTCAGGTAACCGTGGAAGTCACTGAACGAGTTCATGGTATTTGGAGTTCGACGTAGCCAATATAGCAAGCAAACGTATTCCCATTTTATGCATCTTGAGAAGGCCGTGCATTCTTGGCAAATGCTTATCTTGGGGTCTCAATGTCCCATGGAGCTTTTTATCAATTAAATAATGTTTCAGAAAGTGGCTGAGGACTTGATTATTCGTTAAAGTTCGAAATGTCTTGTCTTTATTATTCTTTTCAGGAAAGAAGTACCTCCTACCACTCAATACGGTGAGCACTTTCAGAAGATAATCTTTTCTGTTTAAAAAAACCAAACCTCAGCTTCCATCACGATTCAGTAGAATAGTGGGTTCATTCATTGTCAATTAACTTAAGAGGCGGTAAAGAATTCTTATGGAATGTAAGGCTGATAGCATATCGGTTAGCTAAATCAACAAATCTAGCTTTCATGCAAATGATGTAGGTTTAAAATTCAACAGCTAGATGTAAAAATTTTCAAAATGACGTTCCATATCTATTCGGCTTAGTTTTTAACACAAGAAATGATTTTATAAAGCATGATATCTTTGGTTTCAATTCAAGTTTCAACAGCTGGACATTAAAAAGATTTATAACACACTTTCCTTGGTTTCCTGGAAGATTTTACTAAATAGATTCTGAAACCAATGACAAGCATAATTCACTGTCTGTTTATGAACGAGTACGCTACTTTATATTACGACTAAGGTCGAGGAATTTTATGCAACAAAATAAAATTAACGAATTCAAAGTTGGTTGGTTGTGACGTAGTGAGTTATGTTACTGACTTAATGTATCATCAGTAGTCTCTGTATAGGATCGAGTAAGGCGACATAAGTTATTATAAGTACGAAACGGGTTTTTCTGACGTAGTTGTTTGTAGTACTGTCAAGGAAAGGTGTTGTCATGCATACAGTACTGAGAAATACAATACGAATATGTTCAGGTATAATTTTACACCTTGTTGCTACTAAATTGTCTGTCCACTATTATCATTATCATTAAATTACCATTATTAGGTTTTCTTTCCGCATTACTATTACCGCTTACTACTACACGATGTGAACAAGATATGTATGAAAAACTTTTTCGATTACCCACAATGAACCCATTGTCACCATGATCGTAATCATCCTTATGCAATGAAATATGTCAGGTGTACAAAAACCATTTGAAATACTAACCAATGTAATTCTTGTAATAAGTTGGAATGATTTATAACATTTCTGGTGAAGTGAATTGACCAAGTCAAATTCGTAGTCATTCTTTATTAACCTATGATTTTACTTAGTTCAGATGCATGTCCAACTTATTCTTTATTGAACGGTTCGAATTTGCAGTCTAATGGACTAGTCAGTCTATACTACAGTACTATAATTATTCAAGACATAATCTAGGGATATTTTTTTCATCGTACAGTATGCTAGAAGGATATTCTTCCATTCTGAGTTGCAGCACATATTGTAAAGAGAAGATAAATGTCATTTTCAGTAGTGGTTATATGCACCGTAGAAAAAGTACTCAGTACTCGTTGAATTGATCAGTTCACCCGATTTTGTAAACTGTGGCTTGCCGAGAAGAACAGGAATTTCAATCTATTTTGACACCTGTTATGAAATGTTAATCGTGTGGTCTTAGTTTTGGTTTCATGCTTGTCTTAATGACAGGGAATATTTTGTTTTGGACTCAGCATTTTGAACATAACGAGATCAATAGGACTAAAATGATACACTACAGTTTTTTCTAAAGGTTTCAAAACTATGTATTTGGCACACTTACTATCGTATTTAGATGATCTTCCAATCAGAGTATATTGGTATACGACTAGAGGGATTCCAGAGTCACTCATATCTAAAAGTAAGAGGCTTTTCACCAATCATCAAGCTACGGATTGGTAAGTCCAGCAATCCAAGAAATTAAAATCTTTGATAAAGTGGTCTGGAGAACTATTGAGCTTATCGTTTCTATCCTATGGATGACATAATTTCCATGCTAGCTTCCTTACATGACAGGACTTTTCATCGGACAAAAATATTGAGTAAAATGAAGGATAACGGAAAGTGGGAGGTAGTCCTACCAATATATTTCAATTAAATTCTCGATGAGAAGCTTTACACCAGGTTTCTCATCAAGGTAAATGGTTTCAGAATCACTGGTAATTTACTTGCTGAGATCACTGTCTTCTCTGTTGGTAGAAGTCGTGAGGTGAAGTTCAACTTTATACTTTACTACAAAAGATTAACAAAGAGGAGCACGCTGTTAAAACTGATTTCGCGTTCATCTTTGCTTCTCTTTTTAAGGGATGAATCGGTAAGACGTTTGAAATCCGCCTTGATTTATGTGGCTTCTTGCAGACCTTTTCAGAAAAAATATTTGACGTCTATCTTTGCAACTTAGCTGAAAAGATGCACATACAATGGGCAAACAAAAAAGTATGAAATGCTGAAAACTTCTCTGTACTCAATTCCATGTGAATTACAGATATTGTCCCAAGTAAAATCTAAGTTCCAATTCAAAGCCAGTCATAGTTCTATCCTTTGTGTAATAGTTCACCAGTGAAATGATAATGTGGAGAATTTCAATACAAACAGTTTCATTGATTCTCGACAACAACAGCGGTCAGGTAAAATTCAGCGGAGATATAAACTTGTTGCTAGTCCAAATGTGAACTATTATCTTAAATATGTTTCATTCGTACAACATTTCAGCACACGCTTAAAACCTAGCTAGTGATCCAGTTCCACATATCAATTAGTAAAACAAAGAATCAAGGAGCTTAAAGATCAGTATTTCAAATCCAGTACCATACACACCAACCGAGTAGTGCCATGTGCTCTCTCGTATTTAAAAATGTCTTAAATCTGTCCCTTAGCAAGTTCACAGCGAAACTAAACGAATACACTATGGTAGATAGCAGTATTTTCTTAAGCTCACAATAAGACATCATACAACTGTTCTTTGTATAGTTAAGGTAATCTGTTGCTTCTCATGCTACCTGAATGAAGATCCACTGCAAAAATCACTCGTACTTTTGATTTGCTCTATCGCCATCAAGTACTTGCAGATTGTATGGAAAATCAAACAATAACTGGTCATTAAATATTACTTCTGATGGTAAATACTGTTATTATCTACAGTGGTTTGCTGCCATAATTATTTTGCCTAGAATATTGTACAACAGGTAAATTTTTCGAGATATCCCATACTGAAAAGTTGGCAGTGCATCAAATGTATTGCCTGGAATAAGGTGTTGACTATTACAATATATTACACATGTTGAATTACTGCTTGCACAATAAAAGATAACAGTGACCAAGAATAGGGATAAAGTGTAAAAGAGTAGGTACAGAAGAGCATATAGAGCTGTCGAACAGAGTGCATATTGTGATCCTGTGCTTAAGCAAGCTTATTTAATCACGTTGTTGTGTGACCTTGCCTGAAGAATTATCACTGATACGAATGAAATACAATGTTGTAAAACATTCCAATGATTATATCATTCACACCTTTGAGTAATGTACTGAAAATGGGAAAAACTAAAAAATACATAAATGTATATATAAACCTTTTTATTTTCTTAAACATTTTTCGCCAATAAAATACTAAATGAAATTACATTTTTGCTTCAAAAAAATAGACAAACAAAGGGGAATACAAAGAGAAAGTATAGATGACAATGATATGAGATATATTCAATAAAGTAAGGACAAGGAAGACGATAAAGTAGGACAGGATGGTCATACTGTGGTTATATCTCTTCCCTAACTTTTGATATAGGTAACATAAAGGAGGATAGTGAGCTACTTTGTTAACCAGAGGAGAGTTGAGAAGCTATCAGAAAAAAATTCACTAAAATTAATTACTCCCAAGAGAATTATATATATATATATATATATCATTTTAAAACTTTTTCGTCCAAAAGAGGGAAAAGATTATAATTGAATTTATGTAAAGTCTCTCTTATATATTGCCGACTTTCAACTACACCAATGATATTATTACGTAGAGTAGTTTTTTTATAAATTAGAATAGAAGTAAAAGTACCATTACTTATCTTCAAAAATAATGTATACTGTAAATTTAATGAAGAAACAAGTCAACAGCAAGAAAAATTTATCATCTAATTTATAAACATGCAAAGTATAAGTCATGCAAACACGGACACTCAAACATATGTTCACTGAAATAAACAAATTAACAGTTAGTTAACTACTGTACTATTCTTTACGTGGTACTCTCCTCGGGTACTTGCTGTGAAAGTCGACTAACAAAGTGTGTTTTACCCAGTGGTCTGTCGTAATCTTCCATTGACATTCTACGATTTAATTGCATTGGTGTTTTTTGCAGTTTTAAATTGCTCACTAAAAATAGAAAAGGGATAGTTTATAAGTAGAAGTTGGAAACTATGCTTCATTTTATTTCATAAGATTTGTCACATGTTGAGACAACTTTATTTACTATATCATATTTCCGGAATAACTTATTGCTCATGATCATCTAATGGAAATGTTTTGTGAATTCAGTATTTTTGTCGCACCACAAAATTTTACAAAAAATTGTTTCCTGAATGTTAACAAGTAAATAATATCCTATTATGTGAATTATCTTAACAGAGAATCGAAATGAACAGTGAACAACATATTCAACGGTGAATAAGGATATTTAGTTATAGGAGAGAATACACTAGAAATTTCGAATCGATACCAGTGAATAAAAAAATTAATTTTGCCTAGAACATTCATGGCTTACGGTGGGCGTCAGTGTTTACCAGTCTTTTCAGATAAATTTCTATACCACCGGAATAAAATGCTGACAATATTTCCGGTTAGTGATCAGAATAACACAAATATGCGTAAGTCGACTGCGAGATTTCAACATAATTTGCTCTAACAATCGAAATTTCAAGACTACGAATTTGAAGAAGGTGAACATAAGAATTGTTCATAATGAACACCTGAGTAACTTTAGTTGTTAGAAATTAATCTGTAGTCAGTAGTATCACTTGTTGCATATGGTTCACAAGCCTGCTCGACTATCTGGTCACTTCTGAAGTAACTAGAACGATTCGACTTTTTGATTTGAATCACTTTGCGCACATAACTGAAACTGCTTGCAGACTACCGAAACGTCCATCTGATATTTTAGTTATCTAAATTTAACTAGCATACAGCGTTACTGATTGGACCTAGTGGTTTTGACCTTCTTACGTCAGTTAGTAGTATATTATCTTATTAAGTGCATTTAAATGGAAAAGAATATTTCTATGATTGAAAGAAAAGATTCTTATTGACCGGTTTCCATCATAAAAGTGCACGCTGATGTTAGAGGTAAGTGTGTTCATGAGGGACTTCTGAAGTTATATCAGAATTGGCTAACACAATAGAAAATAGGCTTGCTTTAGTGGATGTGAATGTAATAAAATGAACGGATTACTCCAAAAACAATTTACGTGATAAACTGATATCAGATAAGAAAGTAAGAAGATGGGCGTAGTAGTAGTATCCTACCTAGTTTTTCAAACAGAGACCTTACAGAATGATGAACCGTGGACCACAACGTGCTTTGAAACTACAGTTTTCACATTCATAAATATTGCAGCATTTATGATTTACAATACTAAGTATTTCTTCTTGCAGTAAGACTATGGGACATTGCCTCCATTGAATTTGGAAAAAAATAGGAATGCAGGTTTGATTTGAACAAAGAGAAGTAACCGTGAAGAGGCTTTCGAATAAGATGAAACTTTATTTCAAAATCCTTTTACTTTCAGTACTTCATCTGAAGATTTCACTTTGTCGTCAGGCTGTTTCATACGTTTACACAAACGCCTTTATGGACTTGATTTTATGAGAATTATCTTTGTGTCGTATTCTTTATTACTGCATCTGTGTTTGATGCATGAATACTTCATCGTTTAAGTTTTGTACACTTCTTTTTACCTGATTCTGTAACATTTTCATTGTTCTGTTATCATATAACATACATTGCACCTTGATCTTTACTGTGTTTTCAATGAGAAAGCTCTACTTAGGGGATCATCAGTAAAATTATAAGGAAAAAAATGCATGGTATGCATCCATCATTACAGCTTTTTACACGTATATGTTTACTTACATGTGCACGACAAAGCTTAACAACACAGTCAGTTAAGAAAACGAACAAGTCTTAGGTGAAAACCTACCAGCACAGCTAAGACAACATAAGTATTTAATCTTCAGGTATTCAGCCAATCCTAAGAAAAGAAAACTCTTCAGTTGAAAATACTAAAGCGATTGGATGACTGCAGAACCTCCAGCTTCTTCACACAGAAATAGTCAACGAGTTATGAGAAGCAACATCAGCGTGATAATTTCAAGGAGAAAGAAAGTTCTTCAATCACGTCATTGGGTATTCTCCAGTAAACAAGAACAAAAGATACTGATATGTCAACAGACTGAAGTGAAACGAAATCTCCAGTTATGAAAACTCTTGCCAGATTAAGTTGGTTCACTCTTTCGTCAAATTGTGCAGGTGACAATGTCCAATATGATAATTAAAATCTGTGAGATAAAAACCTCAGACTAATCACCGACTCTATCTTGATGTCACTATCCTGAGTTACAATTGTTTATCAGAAATTAGTGCATATCAATATGTGCATAACGCCAGTTAAGTTAATCGGGACAAGGGATTTTTAAAGAATTGATAACTTACACAGTCCAATCCCCTGTAAAAAGAACTGCATACTGTCAACCACTTTGTCGGGCTAGAGAAATGAAAGGATTATGAAGAGGAAATCAGCGAAAAGTACCATTATGATCCAAAAAATGTGACGGATAAATACTACTTGACTGCATATTATAAAAATTCACTAAAGTTTCGAGGTTGAAAGTGAGAATGTTACCCAATAATTCATCAATATTATGCGAAGACGCCGTACTTATATTCCGACTCGCTAAGAAATAAACGTGATATGGGTTGTAATAAAATGAGTGATACCAAGACTGGCCAACCAATATAATATAATGACTGACTGAAAACCCCTCATAACCACAAGCTTACGGCATTAATCGCTTCATGTAATGATAGACTGTTATCAAATAAACACAGAACCTACTTCAACTATGTAGGCTTTCTGAGCGTAAAATGTTGAAAATACATGGACATTTATGGTGTAGATGTTACTGAAGCTAACTAAAAAGTTGATGGATGAGGTTAGCACTGTATATCAACTTCAAAATGGTAACAAGTTCAGGTCATGTAGTGCGTTGCAAATTCTGAAACAGCATAGCATAGATAATACACGTTATTTCAGTCTTCGTGTTACCAACTTGTCAACTGTGTCACTCTTTCCATATGGTGATGCGGATGGATATTTGTTGTTAAAAAGTGACAGAGTTATTTCTCAATATTTTGTGCTGCTGAAAGCTGACATTAACCAAATGTACATTTGCACCTTCCTACTTAAAATCAAGCTGTCAACATAAACGTCAACATGACATGGAAGTGATATCTATTGTCTCCGATGACTCTCTGAATCAACTACTAACAAATCAGTATACATCCTAGAAAAAACTTTCAGTAGCGATATATTGAGACAATGTTTTTACCAATATTTTCAGAATGGCCTGGAAAAAATTCATTGGAAAGGCAGCTATTCATGATTTTATTTCAATTTCTTTTCAAAGACCAAGAATTAAGCAAGACTTGCTACAAATGATCCATATCATGCCAGTCCTAGTTTTAATGTTATGAAAACAATGATATTTTGATCAGAAACCAACCCACCAAATCAGCATCAGACTGTGAATCGGTCATTCCTTATCTAAAATTGTTTACTGCCTAACCTGATGAATTCGTTGTGCAAATTGTTCTTGCATAGATTCCAAGAACCACACCATGGTGGCTAAACAAAAAATAGTAGTTAAGGCTGAATGATGACAAAATTTGATAGAGTAGGCTTGCGTCTCAAGTGCAGTTTTCAGATCAATCCACAACCGATAAGTTCTTTACACAAGGCTATCGTGAATGGTCTCAACGGTGATTTTGGTCTTACGATATAAGTAAATAAACTCCCAGAATAATTGTAAATGTTTCGCAGATATTCTTTTCAATACAGTGCTTGAAGGCGGCGACCATTAAATATTCAGATTAGTAAAAGGTTAATGCTTTAATCCGGATTAACATAGTGTTAGAGGATGAAACCATTTCATTTAAGAGAATGTTTAACATACCCTTTCTGTAAGCACATTTGAAACATCATCAATCATTACAAATTCACTGCTGGCCGACTGACCACTGCCAGCATCGCGACGAACTTTCTCAAGATCTTCAAATAACTGACGACATTTTTTGTGATGTGAACCTAAAGCACCTGTGATTAATAGTATAGGACATCTGAAATGAAGGATATGGGGAAACTAGGGTTATGAAAAATAGGTCAATATTTAGAAAATGAGTTATTCTGTTTGATAAACTACTATAAGTAGCTCTGATAATTGAAAAATATTTTTGTCTAGAATTCATCACAAGTTAAAAGCAAACTTTATCAATAAGTATTTAAAAATCGTAACTTTTTTGATAAAGAACAAATTAATGAATAACGCCATTCAATTTGTTGGCCATATTCTTGATCAATATCCTCTGCGTTCCAGATTTGTGAGCTGTAACATTCTAAATAGTGACTGTTGTTAGATGGCGTAAAATTACTTTATTGTTGTTGTCATCATAATTTTAGAAAATTATCATTCGGTTACTACACTTTTCACTTGTTTCCAGACTGTAAATTTTTTTGAGGCATTTCGTTCGTAAAATCTATGCATATTAATTTGTCCTTCTTGGTTGAATACAATAATCAAGAACACAATACACTTTTCCTGATCAAATTTTCAAATGAACTCAAAACGATCATCTTAAATTTGTATAATAATCATCTTGCATCTTCATAGTTTTGCTATACTGATTTCATAGTTTTTAATTGGCATAGTTCTCTTGATGGTGCTAATTTCTTCTCATTAAATATTTTTTTTAAAATGACATTTAATGTTATGCTGAAAAAAAGCAATCACATTTAAAATTAGATTCAACTAACCAAACACTTGTGGTGAAATTCTGTGAATCCTTGTTTCATGAAGTTAGTGCTGATAAGGTTGGATGAAAATGATTTTATAATTTCTATTTCAAATCATCATCTTAAGGTCACCCAACATCAGTAAAATATCTAAGAGAAATGAATTATTCTCGTAATCATTTTTTTTAGCTCTTATTATGTTTTACTTTAGTGCTAAGCAGTTGGTGACCCCACTTCTATCTATAGTTTCTCCTAAATTCATAGACTTTGTCTAGGTTTATGATCTTAAATTCGTCTACTTTTCTAGTCTACAACAATCCTATTGGCCAAAAATCTTTGCTTCAAGTTAATTATTCAGTCCACACCAAATTTAGTCACAAAACAAGCAATTTATATTTCAAATTCAATAACTATTCCACATATAATGTTCGCGTGAATTCATTATGGAAGCTGGTTTCCAAAGTATTTCTCCACTTGAGTTTCATTAACTACTTTAGCAGTGGCAAGAATGTTAAGTAGGTACTAGTTACATGACTAAAAGTAGAATTCCTGAACACCATGAAGTTACTGAAATCCGAGAAAGCAGCAGAATCAGATGGATTTCCTCCAGAAGCACTGAAAACAGACACAGAGACAACAACGGACATGCTGACATCACCACTGCAGAACGTTTGGAAGGAAGGAAGGAAAGGTACTTGCCTATTGGTGGGAAGAAGGGTCACCTTGTCGAAATTCCAAAGAAGAGAGGCCTAAGTATTTGCAAGAACTGGCGAGGAATCATGTTCCTGTCCACCTCAAGCAAAATATCATGCCGCATCATCCTGGAGAGACTAAACGATGATCTGGATTCAAAGCTACGACTGGAACAGGCTGGATTTAGAAAGAACAAATCATGTGCGGATCAAACTGCAATGCTGCGCTAAGCATCATCATAGAACAGAGTATAGAATGGCGGCCAACTGGATCTTTACCTCAACTTCATCGACCCTGAAATGGCATTTTACAGCATCGACCGAGAAGTAATTTGACAGGTAGCTCCTTCAAAATTACGGTTTTAGCACCACAAACCTGTATCAACCTCATTCAACAGCTATACGCCATATCAGGATGCTTCATGCCAAGCTATTAACATGGAAAGCTCAGTGACGCTTTTGAAGTGAAGACAGGAAGGAGTAAGACAAGACTGCCGCCTACCATCACACATGATCTTTCTGATTGTGGTCGACTCAACTGGATCATGCAAGAAACTGTGAAGACCATGAAGAAGGACATACGCTGTTTGACCTATGAAAAGATCCTGAACGATTGGGATTTCGCTAATTATGATTTATGCCTGATGTCTAACGTTGCACAAACTCGAAGACCTACAGGCAAAAACTAACACGCTGGCAGAAGTGGCGAGGCAGCGAAGGAAGACGGGACTTCCTTCAGGTGAACATAGAGAAGACAGAGGTGATAAAGATACCCTAACCAACAACAACAAGACCCAGTGACCACCAATGAGAGGAATCTTAAGGAAGTTGTCTCTTTTACCCACTTGCACAGGCAATATTGTTTCAACTACAGGCGGCACAGGCATAGATGAGGACGTCAAAGCCAGGATCTGGAAGACAATAAGACAGACCTTCATTGAGCTGAAATCAGTGTGGAGATCTACTGCACTCCACTGCACTCCACTCAGCATAAAGCGTGAACAAAATCCGGACTTTAGTCACTAATTCAGTTAAGTCAGTGGTTCCATATGATGGTTGAGAGACTTGGCGGCACGTCACGAAAAGCGTTTCTAAGTTAATGCGTGAGGTTCAACACCAAATTGGCTTATAAAGTGATGTGTTTAGCTACCTGTTGAGATATAATTTGGTGTAGTCGCTAACGATGGGGCATCTGACTCTGTCTTCTAGATGCCAACGATCCCGAAACCTCAAACGAGTTCACAAAAAACCAAGCTCTAAAAACCAGCCTTTGAATATGTATATATATATATATATATATATATATATATATATATATATATAACTGCGAGCACAAAATTAATAAAACTGAGGCCCCCTAATAAGGAAACACTCTTGAAGACATAGAGTTGAGCAATCTACCGGCCACTGCGTAACAAAACAAGTGGAAACAGTAATTTTAACATTTGATAGCGTAAAAGAAGTCGTCAAGGCAGGTTACAATACTTCTTAGAAGAGAAGAATAAACAGTGTGTAGGCAGGCCACAAAATGATACGAAGGTTTGACGTATTGTAGAGAACTTCACCTTAGAAAGGTAAGTGGAGAATTTATATTTCAGTGAAATCTGATGGTTTATTTCATTTCGGCATTTCATACTAGTTATTTCATCATAGATGTTGAAATTGTATGTGGGAGAATTCGGTGTATCGTGGCATAGAATTCTGTGCCACCTTTCAATTGAGTTGTTCGAGTTTGCAAAGCCTTTTATGGAGGTTTTATTGCTTAATTTGGGAACTATCTGCAACTCAATAAACCTATTCACTTTTTAAACGATAGTTCAGAGTTCACAAAATTGAAAAACCATTAAATGGAAAACACCATTAATGCTTACTTAAGGCTTGGAAGACTGTCAGAGAGATTTTTTCGCCTGTGAAAAAGAAAAAGGGCAATTCGTTGATTAGAAATAAGGAAGGTATGAGGACACTGCATTTATTAATTAATGTATGCAGAGATCAGTTGAAGTAGTTAATGCTGATAAAACGTTATGTCTTACAGATCAAGTCACTGTTAGTTAAATACATATTTCATAGTGGCTGATTTACCGTTCGAATGGAATGCTATAGATCATATGTATATTATCTCCAATAGGTAGCTAACCATTCAACTTCAGTAAGCAACTAAATACAACAACAGCAACAGTTTCCTGATGATTATAGATATTTCTTGCCGATCCTTCTTAGCCGAAATGAAGAATGCACAGGCAGAGTTGATAACAAACTATTTCTGAATATTCAGCATTAAGTCATGTATTGTGTTATAATAATTGACTTTCAGTTTTGTTTTACGTAGATTGGTAGTAGAAAAATAGGTTCTTTAGATGAATGGATGGTTGCAAACCGTCGCAAAGAATGAATAACTTATCATTGTGGCCTATCCGTGACTGTTAGGCCTCCTGTGATCTCCTAGAGGTTCAATTTTTGACCGTACACTTTAAGCTGAAGTTATTATTACTTACTTTTAAGATCAGCAGCTGAACATTTTTGGTTTTGGATTAGATCTGTAAGAAGCATCAGTTTAATCAAAAATCAGGCATATATTACTAATGAGTAATGAAAACGCAAAGCTTGGCTGAAGCATTACGCGTTAATAGTAGCCTAAAACCATCGACTACACAGTATGAAAAATCTTGTGGTCACACAGAAAAAATGATCGTATTCTGTCATCACTAACTACTTTGCATTATATTGGCATATAATTTACACAGATTGCATACGTGAACTCAAATTATTTTTAACTTGCAAATTTAGATGAAACAGTAAAAATGAGTTATTAAATCTGTATTGATCTATATATTCAGCTCATTTTTTTCAGAATACAAAAAATAAAACTTGAGGCTTGTTAAATGCTTCTTACCAAGACGTTTGAATAGTTATCATTTCTTAAAGTACAAACTTTACCTTTAGTGGATGTGTTCATCATTACTAGAGTGAAATACTGATCGGTAAGAATAATATTAAATCTTAGTTGATACTGAAGTTTTCTATATATTTCGTTGTTGTTGGTGGTGGTGGTGACAAACGTATGATCTGATAGCAAATCTCGCTGACGTATATTTTGCAGGTAAAATGAAATAGTTCACCAAAATCAAAATCACTTGTTAAGAAACCAGATTAATGAAGTATTCAATATATCCCTTCATTTTTACACATGACAGTATAAACAACATTTGTATGGTACAAAAAAGTAAATACAACAAACAGAATATCATCCACATGAGTTGATTAAAAATTTGGTCCAACCTGACGTGTTTGTTACTTAAGTATAGTTGAACATCTAATTCATTAATTTGTTGAAACAGTATCTCATCAAGTCTAATAATTTCAGAAGTTTATTATTTTCTACTTTGTTTCCAGACAACTGTATTCATTGAGTAAATAGTTTCAGTTCTTATACAAGAAATCTTGAATACAATTCATTTAAATGTTTTGTTTGCATTACATAACTACAGATGCCTTTGTTAACTGAATAGAGATTCCAATTGTATGAAACACAACTTTCAGCATATCAAAAACTAACTTACAAGCTCAAAATAAAATTGATAATAATTCGCAATAAATATATCTAAAATCTGTGTTTACTACTTCCATAAAATAATGGTTCTGTTGTTCATTTTTTAAATCCGATATTGAGCTCAATTTTCCTATAAAAGGTTGGGATACATTAATTTCATCTAGCTACTACCAACCAAGGTATACGAATGTCTACTGAGTCCAAAATAAGTAGTGAAGTAGACTAGTTTATCTAGCTTCACGATGAATTTGGAAAATATTTCAAAGATTGAGTTATTTGATCTTATGATACATCTTATGGAATTAATGAGTAAAAACTGAAGATATTAGATGTGCAGACTGATGGTAAAGAGCTAATGTAATTGATTAGGATTTTGACCTTGAATGGACTATATGGTTGAGATAAGTAATGCATATCCACAGTCATTAACTTAGTTGACAGTCTATGCTAGTTGGGATCAGTGGATCAGAAACTGACGTTAATCAATTAAAAATTCAGATGTTGGTTTCAGGTTTTTAGAAAAGAATAAACCTTTTAGTTACAGACCAAGAGACAAATGAATTTGGTAAACTGATAATCAAAGGAAGCATGACTCATAGTCAAGCTCAGAAATACAGGTACATTTTCACCATTTTAAGTTTTTTCAGTCTTGGCTAGTCATCTGGCCTTCTGAGATGAGAGTGTTACTTGTGTAACTTTGGTGTTCACCCGATGAATATACCACGTGTATCATTGTTCAGGTGTTTGGACATAAGATCGAGGTTTGTTGTGGTACTTTTGTATCTAAGCAACTATCTGGAAAAGATCATGTATAAACAATGATCGACTAACTTGGTTGGACAAAGTTAACAACTAAAGACCATAAAATCTACCAGCTATCTTCATATAAATTAACTCTTCGACACCGTATTTAATGCCGAAATCTTCTTTTGACCTAAAACGTTTATTTTCAGTGAATCAACTTTGAGGAATGAATAATGAGAATTAACCGATTCCTTTTGACATTTATGCGGTGTAATGAAAAGAAATGCGGTTTTTCTTTTCAATTCTTGCCAAGTTAAATTCAAATATCTCACCTTTGTAGAAGTAAACCTTTTTCAAATCTTAAAAATGACAATAAAGGAACAAGCCTAATTTTAAGGAGTTGAACGTTTTTAATACACCAAAATAGAATTCTGTTTTACACGTGTTAAGAAGTGAATGGAAAAACAAGGAAACAGTGAAATCGGAAAAAAATTGGGAAGGTAACAGCAGTAACAATTTTTTTTGAATACATTTTAAAAATTTCCAAAACTAAGCAGTAATGAGAGTCTGTGACATATGGCATCCTCTGAAAACTTTTTATGGAAGAAAATAGACAAGTTTTTGCTTTGTATTTCAGATATATATGAAGAATTAGATAGTGTTATTCAGTTATATCATTTTCTTAACTAAGCACAGTTATGAATAGATTTTAGCCTTGAAAGGAAAGAAATTTGAATCTCAGCATAAAAATCTCATGGTAAAGCAGGGAAGTTTATGGTAACTACTAGCCGGTAAGACAGCTAAAAGAAATCTTAGAAAATACTCTTTCACAAATAGCAAAGACAAATGGTTTATTATTTAAAAGAGTATGATTGCAAGGAATGATTTTTGATGTTGAAAACCTGTTCATAGACACAAAAGGACTAAAACGTTAAGATGATGGGCGGATAACCTGTGAATATCAACAAACAGCCAAGATTGATAGCACAGTAATCAAATCTGCCATATGTCTTATCACTACATGAAGTTATGAGGTTAGTAAGACAAAGGAAAAAGAAATATAATAACAGCTGTGTAACTCCAAGACCGAAGAAGAAAGGGATTCATTTGAAATAATAAAAATTGAAGTTGCGATTGAAACAAAGGTAAGTTGTCAATGAATTTTCACAAATAAGATGGATTTTGAGCTTATAATAAATAGTGTCCAACAATCAAACTGGGTTGTCTCGTAAATCCCTATGCCCATTCAATATTAAATTTGTTTATTTGATCTATAACACACAGTAATCTAGTATTATTTACTTGATGACGTTTCGGGCATAAATTATTGCTTATAATCATATCATATCACACTGATATGATTACGAGCAGTAATTTATGCTCGAAAAGTCACCAGGTAAATACTAGATCATCGTGTGTTATAAATCAAATAAACAAACCTAATATGGAACTAAATTCTACCATTGCCCAAGTTTTACACCCTATGCCAATGCTTCATTAAACTCCACAGATAAATAGAGTATTTTTCGACTGATGCCATGTTGTTTTTGGGTCACTCTCAAAATTTTTCCAGCCTTACTATGATCCACTTTATGCTGCCAGAAGTTAACTTTAGCACTAGGTAAAGCTGAAGCACCGTTGATTAGCTCGATTTCAAGTGAGCAAAACCCCAAAAAGACCACCTGTGAAAGGCACCAAACAGATATCCATTGGGCTTGGCGGTCACGTATTAATTCTTCTTTTTCAGGTACTGCAAGAAGAAATAGCTTTTCACGATGTGGGTAGCCAAGAAGTGTAAGTCATACTGATAACACTGTTACCACCTAACTTCTGGCTGATCATTAACAACCTTCAACGTCTTTGCTGTCTGGTCCTTATTGACGTCGCTCCGTCAATATTTTTACGTTACCTTTAACTTCTTCCAGCTCCATAGCTCTTGATGACGATTCAAGGTCATAGAACAGTATCCCTGGTCTCATGAAGCCAGGCTAAAAGCCACATATTGAAACTTTCAATGTCCATACTCTTCATCAAATCAGCCAATAAGCTTCTGTAGCTAAAACGCCGATGTCTCGGGCTATGGACGTGTGCTGTGCTTGTAAAATATAGAAAAACCAAGTTAGGTTATTAATTTAGTCTCATTTGACCAATCTGGTATATCTGTGAATTCCACCACTCGAGTTCAGGCAGATCCGACGGATACTTCTCATCGTCTTGCAAATTTACGTATAACAGTAAGTGCTAAAGCATAAGACTCACTACTGGACTGGATCAAAGATGACGGTAGCCTGTGTGCTATTTGATTGAAAGGTATAGAGAGAACTAGAAAAAGTAGTAAAACTCACCATTATCTCTTTGTAATCTGTGCATATACACCTACTGACTGCAGCTAGAATAATGTAAAGTATGAGTTCAACTGAAAACTGTGTAATCTTCTATTGAAAGTCAAACACTCGGATAGGGATGTTGCAATAGATGGCCTCAATGCACAAGTGAGCAGACCAGGTCATGCGGAAAAGCGCTTAGGTAGCACTTCTAGATTGACAGTCAAACAAACAGACAAACATGATTGCCTGCTACAAATGTGTCTAGTCAAGCATATATTTTTGACCA